CACAATGCCAGATTTCAGGTTGTACTACAAAGCTGTGATCATCAAGACAGTGTGGTACTGGCACAAAAACAGACACATAGATCAATGGAACAGAATAGAGAACCCAGAAGTGGACCCTCAACTTTATGATCAACTAATATTCGATAAAGGAGGAAAGACTATCCACTGGAAGAAAGACAGTCTCTTCAATAAATGGTGCTGGGAAAATTGGACATCCACATGCAGAAGAATGAAACTAGACCACTCTCTTGCACCATACACAAAGATAAACTCAAAGTGGATGAAATATCTAAATGTGAGACAAGATTCCATCAAAATCCTAGAGGACAACACAGGCAACACCCTTTTTGAACTCGGCCACAGTAACTTCTTGCAAGATACATCCACGAAGGCAAAAGACACAAAAGCAAAAAATGAACTCTTGGGACTTCATCAAGATAAGAAGCTTTTGCGCAGCAAAGGATACAGTCAACAAAACTCAAAGACAACCTACAGAATGGGAGAAGATATTTGTAAATGACATATCAGATAAAGGGCTAATTTCCAAGATCTATAATGACCTTATTAAACTCAACAGCAAAGAAACAATCCAATCATGAAATGGGCAAAAGACATGAAGAGAAATCTCACAGAGGAAGACAGACATGGCCAACAAGCACATGAGAAAATGCTCTGCATCCCTTGCCATCAGGGAAATACAAATCAAAACCACAATGAGATACCACCTCACACCAGTGAGAGTGGGGAAAATTAATAAGGCAGGAAACAACAAATGTTGGAGAGGATGTGGAGAAAGGGAAACCCTCTTGCACTGTTGGTGGGAATGTGAACTGGTGCAGCCACTCTGGAAAACTGTGTGGAGGTTCCTCAAAGAGTTAAAAATAGACCTGCCCTATGACCCAGCAATTGCACTGTTGGGGATTTACCCCAAAGATTCAGATGCAATGAAACGCCGGGACACCTGCACCCCGATGTTTCTAGCAGCCATGTCCACAATAGCCAAACTGTGGAAGGAGCCTCGGTGTCCATCGAAAGATGAATGGATAAAGAAGATGTGGTCTATGTATACAATGGAATATTACTCAGCCATTAGAAACAACAAATACCCACCATTTGCGTCAACGTGGATGGAACTGGAGGATATTATGCTGAGTGAAGTAAGTTAATCGGAGAAGGACAAACATTATATGGTCTCATTCATTTGGGGAATATAAAAAATAGTGAAAGGGAATAAAGGGGAAAGGAGAAGAAATGTGTGGGAAATATCAGAAAGGGAGACAGAACATAAAGACTCCTAACTCTGGGAAACGAACTAGGGGTGGTGGAAGGGGAGGAGAGCAGGCGATGGGGGTGAATGGGTGACGGGCACTGAGGGGGGCACTTGACGGGATGAGCACTGGGTGTTATTCTGTATGTTGGTAAATTGAACACCAATAAAAAATAAATTTATTATTAAAAAAAAAGATCTAGTCCCTTTTGTATCTCAGTTATAACATTTTTTATTTTGTGCCTGACTAGTTTTTATGTCTTTTATCTCTATGGTAAGGGGCTCTCTGGTGTCTTCTATGCTTTTTTCAGACTCCGCTAGTATCCTCATGATTGTTGTTTTAAATTCTGGATCAGGTATGTTATTTATATCTGTTTTGATTACATACCTGGCCATGATCTTTTCTTGTCCTTTCTTTTGGGATGAATTCCCCCATCTCGGCATTTTGTCTAGGTCTCTGTCTTCTCTGTTAGGAAAGCCTGTTAAATTACCTGCTCCTGAGAGTAAGGGCTTTATTAAGAAGAGGTCATATACTGTCCAGGGCCTGGTACTTCAGAAAGTGTTTCTGGAGTATGCTGTGTCCACTCTGCTGCTGTGCCTTGTCAGTCCTCTGCAGAACTTCTTCTTGTCTGTAGTGGGGAGCGTTTGGATCTTGTCCGGAGTGTGGCAAGTTTTAACTAGGAGTGCTCTGGTCTGCTTGTTAAAAGAGGCCTGATCTTATTTCCACTAGAGCTGGAGCTTTGCAGCACCCTGGTCAGCACCCACGTCTTTCAGAGAAGGGGGCACCTCTCTGACTCTCAAGCACATTTGCCCTAGTAGAGAAGCACCTGTAGAGGGGCAGGGCTTGGTGTAAGCAGCTCTGGCCTCCACTGTTGGAGCTGTGCTGCTCACTGAAGTCCATCTGTGCTGATGTGTGGAGGGAAAAATAATGCAAGCCCACCCCCACCTCCCTTGAGAGGGGAGTTCATGCCTGCTGCCATGTGGAAAGCCCTCACAGAAGAGCAAACGAACTCCCCTTGTGTGTCCCAGGCACCCTTCAGATTCCTGCCTTCATCCTGTCTGTGTCTGAGTTGTCTGCCCTCTGGGAAGCACAGTGCACCTGCGTTTTATCTCGGGCATGTCAGCTGAGTTTCAAAACTCCAAACTTTAGGAACCTGGCATGGTGTGTACTGAGACTCTAGGGGAGGGTGTTATCACACTGGGGCTGGTGCTTGTTTGTCCCAGAAGGGCAGTCACACCAACATGCAGGGGCTTGGAATTTAGAGTAAAGCACAGCAAAAAGCCTGAACCCAGGTTAACCACCCTCAGCAGGTGTCTCTGCCCCTATGTTTAACGAGTAGGGGAGAGCAGTAGCATCCATGGGCTCTTTTGTCCCTGGATAGGCAATGCCATCTTAACCAGATGCATTCCAAGAAGGGGTAAATGTCTCTCCCAGTGTGTCCCAGGGGATCCTCGGATAGTGCCCTCTGCTCCCAGGCCTCTGTCCTCCTTCTCTGTGGATGCACCACAGCAGCTGTTGGGCTACACACTGGCCACAGCATGGACTTCTAAACACAGCATGGACTTCTAAAGCCTAGTCTTTGAGCTCCACTGGTGGTAAATACTTGTTACAAAGAGTAGTGTTAATCAGCACTACTCATTTTCCCAGTCAATGGTTTCGAGCAAGTGTTTTTCTTATGTGGCCCCCTGTGTGCTGCGTGCGCTCACTTTCTCCCTCTTGCCCTCTCTCCATGATCAGGGCTCCTTCCTTTCCACAGCACCCACAGTCCTTTTCTCCTCCAAATCATGTCTTTGCACCTTCTACCTTCCACAATGTTGCATCTTCTCTCCCTCTAGTTGTGTAGTTTGTTCTCTCATTCCTCAGATTGGTTTCTTGGGTGTTCAAAGTAATTTGATATTTATCTAGCTGTTTTTGTACTTTGAAGATAGGGCCCTTCTACTAATCCACTATCTTAACTCCCTGATTCTTCCCCATATACTTTTTAAATATTTATTTATTTATTTATTTATTTATTTATTTATTTATTTATGATAGATATAGAGAGAGGCAGAGACACAAGAGGAGGGAGAAGCAGGCTCCATGGAGGGAGCACGACGTGGGACTCAATCCCTAGTCTCCAGGACCAGGCCCTGGGCCGAAGGTGGCGCTAAACCGCTGAGCCACCTGGGCTGCCCTCATGAATAAATAAAATCTTAAAAAAATAATAAATTACTTCAAAGAACCAACTTTTGCGCTTTGTTCATTTTTTCTTTTTTCAATTTCATTGATTTCTGCTTTTGCTTCTACTTTGAGTTTAATTTATAACTTTTTGCAGAAGCTTAAGCCACTTATTTTAAGCCTAAGAAGTTTTCAAATGCGTGCTTTGAGATCCATAAATTTTACTCATGACTGTTCCATTTGCATCCAGCCATTTCCTGCGTATTATTTGGTTTCATTCATTTCAGATATTTTCTGATTCCCTTTATTTAGAATTGTGCTTAATTTCCAAATATTTGAGGATTTTCTACTAATCTTCTGTTATTAATTTCATTTCTTTGGGGACAGAGGGTACGCTCTGTAGGATTTCAATACTTGAAATTTATTGAGATGTGTTATAGTCTTTTTCTTAATCTTCTGAGTACACTTTAAAAGGGTGTACATTCAGCAGTTGGGTGATGTTTCAATAAATATCAGTCAAGCTGAGTGGATTAAATAGTGTTTATATTCTTATTAATCATTTTTGTCTCTTGCTGTGTTAATTATGGAGAGAAATATATTAAAATCTACAACTGTGATTGTCTATTTCTCCTTTTAGTTTTGTTAATTTTTGCTTAATGAATTTTGAAATTTTGTTAGATATATGTTTAGAATTGTCTTTTTTTTTTCAAAATGACTCTCTTACTATTATGCATTGTCTGTCTTTATTCCTGATAACACCCCTTATCTTAGAGTTTACTTTTGGCACGATCTATCTTTTTTCCAATCCATTTGCTTTTGATGTGTCTGTGTTCTTATATTTCAGTGTCTCTTGTGAACAAGATATAGCTATAGTTTGTTGGTTTATGTCTTTAATCCAGGATGACAATACTCCTTTAAATTAGAGGAGTTAGTCTATTTATGTTTAGTATAATTGCTAATATGGCTGAGTCTAACTCTACCATCTTGATATTTATTTTTAGTTTATACCATTTGATACTTGTTCCTTTGCTTTTCCTTTCCTGCTTCCATTTTTTTCAGCACAAGGTAGATCTCTTGGTGTTATTTGCAGTTATTTTATAGTGTTGCCATCCACTGTGGTAGCCACTAGCCACATGTAGTTAAGTTTAAAATCAGTCCCTCATTATATCAGCCACACTCCAGGGACCCAGTAGCCACATGTGCTTGTTACCACATTGGACAGGACAGATTCCTGCAGAAAGTTCCATCAGACAGCTCCCTGCAGATTGAGGTCAGGATTTATTTTGAGTCAGAATTAGCTAGGGTCCAGGGTGAAAAGGGTAACATTTCTAGTCAGAAGATGTGTGTTTCTGTTGTGTATTTACTATTGATGGCTTTGTAGTCTGTAAGCCTAAGAGATCTGCTCTTAGCCTCAATTTTCTTTTCTAAAACACGCAGGTAGTAATTCCTGCTCTTTGCTTCATGGAGTGCTTGTGGAAAAGAACACTATAAAATGGTTAGCTGCTTTATGAAGCCTAAGGCAGTTTTGAAGAAAATATTCAAACTCAGTTGACTGTGTTTTGTTTGGTCTTTTAGGTTGCTGACGGAGCTGGAGTCCCCTTCTTGGTGGCCATTTAGTTCCAAGCTTTGGAAGATGCCAGCAGAAACAAACCCCAAGGAAAGCACCTCAATGGCTAGTCCCAAAGTTCTTGGAAAAGAAGGGGTAGTGGTCCGAATTCCTGCTGTTATCTCCCAAGGGAATGCATCTCATGTTAAAGCAGGAAGTCTCACCATCCTTGTGTCTGGGTTGGAAATCCATGACTCCTGTTCTTTGCTCATGCACAGATTCGAAAGAGAAGACATAGATGACATAAAGGTTCACACGCCTTATGAAATTAGCATCCGACAGCGGTTCATTGGGAGGCCAGACATAGCTTATCGCCTGATATCTGCCAAGATGTCAGAAGCTATCCCCATTTTGGAGGTGCAGTTCAGCAAGAAGATGGAGCTGTTCGAAGACGCCTTGATGCCCAGAAGTGCCAGATCGTCTTCCCCAATAGAGAAGGGCTGCTCAGTCTGGCAGGCAGGTAAGTGAGCATTGGCATTTGGAGTGTGCCTCCTTCTCCAAACTTGCAGTCAGAACGTAGCATGCCTGGGGTACACTGTTCACTTGTGTCACTTGAAGCAGCTGCTGATTTCTCTGCAGCAGTGACTGTCCATGTGTTTGTGAATGAAAACAACTTAGTACTTGCCATCTCAGAGTGTGTAAATCCCAGAGCTCAGGTTTATCACCCACTGAGTGCTATGTGGGTTTCCCCGAAGGGCAGGAGGGCTTGATGGCCCTTTCAGATCAGAGGCAGGCTCCAAGTTAGGCATTTTCCCCTTTCCTCTGTGTGACCCGCCCGCCCTGGTAGGCATCCAGTCCCTCCACCCCTGACCTCAGCCTCAATCAGGGTCATCTCAGCCTGCCTTCTGGGTACCTGTTTAAGAAATCAGAATCTCTGAGAACTGCAGCATAGTTTTTGTAGGTTTGCAGGCCTCCCCTAGTGGGGAGTGTGTGGCATTGGGCGTGGCCCTGGAGGTTGAGAGAGAGTCCCAGGTCCAAGCCCCAGCCTTGCCTGGGGCAGCCTGGGGTCATCTGACTTGTCAGTTTGCCATCCAGATGGTGTCAGGTAGCATCTCGCTGGTGCCTTTATTTTCATGTCTATCATTGATTGTGATGTGGAACATCTGACGCTCCTTATTTGCTTTCTGGCTTCACGCATTTTTCTCTGTGGATTGTGTGGCTTTTTTGTTGTTGTTGTTGTTTTCGGCTTTTTTGTTGTTGCTGTTGTTTTCTACTGTGCTGTTTATTTTTTGTGATTTGTAGGAGTTCCTCACATGTAGGTTTGCATCCCTTCTTGGCTCTAGAGGCTACCAGTACCTCTGCCAGACTGTCATTCTCCGTTACAGAAATCCTTAATTTTGCTATGGTCTAATCTAGCATTTTTCCCATTAAGTTTGTTTTAGAGCCCAGCTAAAGAAATCCCAAAGTCATAAAATACCATATTTCCTAATGCTAGCATTATAGGTGACCTATGTCTGCATTATAATGATTTTTCTAACAGCCTAGTAGTCTCTGCTTATTAACTTTGATTGCTGGACATCTTTTACAGTTAGAGAAGTGTTTGTTACGGTTCTGGTTTCGTTTTGCTCGGAAGTGATTGATTTCAGCACTAATATGTAACCTGTTTCCCTAACACATGAACATTTCTAGATGGCTTCAAGTTTCAAAAGAAATATACCTGAAGATAGATCTGGTCCCATAAGCACCAAAATGTAAAAACTTCATTTAAAAACTTATTTCCTTAGCATTTCCAGATTTTTCTTTGGCCCCTCTCTCAGGGCAGGACTGAGAAGGGTGGGCAATGCCACGAGCCTAAGACTCTGAGCAGGTCAGGCCGTTGGCCACCTCTTGCCCCCACACTGCTGTTTTCCTGTGGGAGGAAGAGACTCAGGGCTGCTGGGTCCCAATGCAGAGTGCCTCCAGCCATTGCTTCTGCTGCTGCTGAACCAGAACTCCCTGCGCCAGGCGTAGTGCCAGGCACCCACAGTCCCTGTTCTCATGGAGCTCCGCCTGGTGGTTTCAGAGAAGGGACATGGCACTGAATGTCCCGTGTAGGGGGCAGCTGTGAGCACACGTGGCACAGAGTGTGGCACTGTGCAGGGGAGAAGAGGCTTTCTGGGCCCTGCCCCCACGTGTCCACGTGCAGACAGGGCTGGAGGGGAAAAGGAGGTGCATGCCAGGGCCTCTGCGGCCGTCGTCTGGCTGCAGGAAGCTAGGTGAGTACAGACTCCGCAGGGCCCGCCCTCAGGAAGGGTACAGGCCAAGGCTGCTGACCACAGGCCGAATGTCTTCTTCCTCAGGGAAGCCACAGACAGTTTCCCTCACCTAAAGTCAGCTGGGGCTGGGCCTCCACCACCTCTGCAGACACCTTCCCAGCAACACCTAGATTGCGGGTGGCTCGCATGACGGGGTGTGTGGCCTCGCCTGTCACAGTCAGGGGCTGTGTGTATGGAATGAGTGGAACCACAACCAGGATGACATATGGGTTTTCATCCTGCGCTCAGCCCACTTCAGCCTCTGGGTGGGTTCCCGCAGGAGGTCTGTGTCTGCACGGAGCAAGAGGGGCCATCCTCCCGTGGTGAGGCCACCCCATCCCAAGGAGTTTATGCAGAGGGGAGCTGGGGAAGAGGCCAGCATGTGGGCTTGTGAGCAGCACCATGTCTGGCTTGCTGGGACCTCTGCAGGAGGCCTGGGCAGCCCTCTCTGTCGCCTCTGATGGTGTTTTCACTGTCCCAGGGTGGAAAGTACAGAAGCAGTGGAGGTGGAAACCATGACTTGACATCTCAGAAATGTACTCCTCTTCTCCAGCCAGGAGCAGTGTTGGTAGAACGTGTGACCAGCAGGTGGCAGCGTCACCACAGCACCCCTGTTTGCCTGGAGTCCGTGTCTGGAAGAACTTTCCAGAGACCTCCACAGTCATGTGAAGTGCCGGTGGCCCAGCCAGCAGCCAGCCACTGCGGTCTCCTGGGCTTCGGGGGTGGGGAATGACACAGGGGGCTGCTTCTACCCTGGGGCGAAGCCATGCAGAGTCCGTGTGTGTTCACACAGCATCTTTAAAGGACTCTTTATGTCCTGGAGTATTTCAGACATGAGGAGGAGCTAGGAGGCTGGTACAGACCCCGATATTCCCCTGCCTTGCCATTCTCATCGTCACAGCTCACACGCATGTGTGCATGCAGCATCACTCTGTGAAGTCTCAGTTCTGTCCAGGCTCTCTCGCACTCACTGTCCAGAACCCCATCTGGAACCCTCGTGCTGGGGGGGCGTCTCCCTGGACCCCCCTGGCCCTGACGGTCTTGACGGCCTGTAGGAGTGCTGCCGAGGTTTCCTAGCATGTCTCCCAATTGTGCTTCACCCGTGTTTTCTCAGGGTCCTGGGGTAATGGGTTTCAGGAAGATGACTTCAGAGCATAGCCCACGCGTGGCCTTTTATGTTTTTGGTACTTATTTTTGTCTCTGTTGTTTGCTGACTGCCATATTCTGAGAGAAGCCTTCTCTGGCCACCTGATTAAGAGACCTCCAGTTACCTGCCCTACACTTGCCCTCGGCACTGCTGCCCTCTGGTTGGCTGTTGTGCTTTCACACTGGGGCATGTGCTCTGTCCTCACCAGACACAAGATGTCTCTTCATGACCATGTCTCCAGCACCCAGAAGAGGCCCAGGCATCCAGGGGCACACGTCTGTGAGACAGTAATACATGTCTGGGGCACTGATATCCAGTGCAGGACTACTCATTGAAGACTTGGGCTTCAGGCAGTGGAGTTCAGTGCCAGGACGTGGCACCACACTGACCACAGGCACACCCCCCACCCACATGGTCACTAGGACGCAGGCACCACGCTGACCACTCACAGACCTCCTTTGGGTACTTAGAAATGGGCACCCCTTGACCCCAGCCGACCCCCTGGGAGCTGTGTGGCTCTCACACACTTGATCTCTTTCCAGGAGCCCCAGGTCCACGCTGTGCACTGTGTAGGTTTGAACATTTGCCAGTAAGTGACTTTGGCTGTAGGCAGTTGGGATTGCTTACTCGCTCTCCGTTTCAGCTCTCTGCTGTGTGAAGGGCGTGGGCATTTTGTGATGTTTGTAGGGCTTCCCACCCCAGTTGTGTATGCTTCTGGGGCTGTCCCTGTGTAGAGTAGGTGTTTCCTTCCCTGTGTCACTGATGAGGCTTTTGGGTCCCAGGGACAAGGAAGAAAATCTGCCCGTGGCCAGATGGGCTTGGAGGGGTTCTTCTGTTCTTGGGGCAGGGCCGGTGGTTCTTGCTCTGAATCCCCAGTGAGGCCGGGATCTGAGGCCAGGGTCTGCGTCTGTACGTCAGGGGGCTGGAGTCCGCAGCTGCCCATAGCAGCCCAGCTGTCGTTCCTGGAAAGTGAAATCATCCCTAAGTTCCCTTGAAGCTGGAACAATTTGTGCTGATTTTGTTTAACTGTAGTAAGTAATGACTTTAGAGGCAGAACCGTTGTATACTGAAGTAAATTCTTTTTCGAAGATATTTCAAGGCATTGAAGTAACTGAGTCAGTGGGTCAGGGCTCAACGCAGAGCACCCAGAGTGCCGAGCTCTGTGCTAGGCGTGATCCTGCTGACCCTGCAACATGTCATAACCGACACCCCTGACTTAGTGTGTTCCGTACTGAGAAATTCTCTATTTTGGCTTTCTAGTTAAGTAAAAAACCCCTTTTGTTTAACATTTTAAAAAGGTCAGCATGTCCCTCCAGAACATAGGGGTATTGGAGTGGAAACCAGAGCAGTGCTGAAGGAGCACAAGGGTGGGCGCTGGCGTCAGAGAAGCTGTGGGGTGCAACACGTTGATACCAAAGCTGTGCAAGCTAAGTGATGCCAGGACATGTGAGCGAAAGTTGCTGCTGATGGAATGGCAGAGTGGAGGACATCTGTGTATGTATGTGATGTATTCGGGAGGTGGGGGGATGCAGAGTGGGCAGAGCCAGTTGGCTGGGGACAGCGTGCCAGGGTGGCTAGAACAGGAGTCCACGAGACAGTGGAGTGGAGTGGACACCAAGGAAGGAGGAGGTTCTGGGCTGAGTGAGGAGACCACTGTTTGTCATCACATCAGCACCAATGACTTGCTAACGTGTGCATGGATTGGCCTGTAAGACTAATAATAGCTGGTGGCACATGTTTGCTATTTCTGCCGTCATACCTTCCAGCTAGCTCTGACGGCTTCTACTGCAGGCGGAACTTTTGCGGTACTTTTCCTTATGTAACATTTTAGTTGTGACACTTTAGATCACGTAAGGCCAAACAGTTGCATGCTGTGGAAAGTTCCTTACTAATTAAATCCCTTAGGAGCTGGAATAGGATGGGACTTTGGAGATTTTAAAACACAGGTTGTGAGATCAGTTTGATTGGTTGCGATCAGCTTTTATTGTTTTTGAAGAATGAACGAGAAAAGCAGACATCTGTGTGCATGGTATACAGTAAGGGCTTTGGTAAGACAGGTAGGCCTCCTGGGTGCAGCTGCGGGTGTGGCGGGCCTCCGTGGGGTGCAGTCCTCACAGGCGCTCTGTGTGGGTGCCCGCCCACTGCTTCCTGAATGCTCTCCTCTGCAGGACCTTGAGAAGCCTCTCTCGTCCCCACAGCAGCCTGCGTTTATCCTGGGTGAGGCCACGCTCCCTTTGCTTAGCCAGGCACCCCTTGGGGAGTATCACTTCGTAAGGATTACTTCGAGGACTGAGAAGAGAGGGTATTTCTGTATGTGTTGGAGGTGGCTGGTCTGTGCCCCAGAAGGAGGGGCTTGGGCAGTTGGTATATGCTGGGGATGGCTCGCTGGGCCCCTTCCCTTCCTGACAGTGCATTCATCAGGCTGCTCTGCTCAAAGGAGCCTCTGCTCACCGCCTCCAGCGTCCCCACGTCCAGGATCCTGTTGGCCCTTCTGTGCCTCCTGTTCCACAGAAGCAGAGACGCGTTCCGAGGAGTTGGTGCTGGCATCCAAACAGCGGATTCTCATCCAAATGCTGTCTGCTTTCCAGCATCGTGATACATGAACGTGACCATGCTGTGTATCCGAGGGGCCTTGTAATATGGGGAAGAACAGGCAGTAGACCTAACTGATGCCCTTCCCTGGACCCTGTGGTGCCAGGGTTTGGATGTCAGCTCTCTAAATAAAGGACGTGGCATGCAGTGGGGGGCATGCAGGGCCTCTTGAGTATCACTGCATCTCCAGGCTGCCCTTCTGCTCTTCCAGGAGCCTGCCCAGGTGCGGGTGCTGGGAACACCCCTGAGCAGGGCCCAGCCACGTTTAGCACTCTGACTCACCCCCCCACCCCCACCCCAAAGTGGCCACGCCACCAGCTTTGCTTGGCCGAGCCAGCCGGCCATTTCCTGTGCCCTGGGGAACCGCAGCGCTCTGTGGGCTGACGAGATGGTGCCGCAGTTTCCAGGACCATGTTTTATGTGCGTTTCACCAGGTTCCGCAAGTGGCCTGTTGGATACTCCCCATGTGTAGCCCTTTCCTGAGAGACCAAATACACAGCCAGACCTGGGACATTGTCAGTGGTGCACTCTCTAACCAGAGCAGGGTAAGGAGGCAGCTTGGGCTAGGGTCCCAGTGAGCCCAGGCAGCCCCCAGCCCGGCTTCACACAGCAGAGCTCAGGAAGATGGACCCACCACAGCTGCCAGCCCAGAGAGAGCTGATGGTCTTAAACATCACTCCCTGTGAGCTTCTGAATGTTCGTGCGTTGTTCGCACCTCCTGGAAGATGTCACTGCTGTTTGACTTTCCATTCCAGCGTCTGGACTGATGGACCGTGCCATGCCCCACGAGCCCTGCTCAGGGAGCCAGGAGGGCCCGTCACTTCAGCTGCAGAGGAGTGAGCCGCTCATCTCTGAGGGGGATGCCCAGGAACTGAGACAGGTAATGTGCACTCCCGGCACCACGTGGTCCCTGCATGTGACATGCTTCTTCTTCTGCCTGCCCCTAGCTCCTCGCTGGGAGATGCTGGCCTGTCTTCTGCAGGGGCCTGTCACTGTGCCCCCCAGCTCTGTCTGCTCGTGTAGCTGGAGAAAGGAAAGAGCGGTGCCCATTCTGAGTCCCTGTGTTCCATGGCACACAGACACTCCGTGCGCACGGCCCCCCTGCTGGCTGCTCTGCCTGTTGTACATGTACACGTGCAAGTATACATGTGGGCTGTGTGTGTGCAGGATATGCAGGTTCATGTGGGCTTTCTGTGCATATACATGTGTGCATATGTGTGGTACATGTACTCGTGTGTACGTGTGTGTGCTATGGGTGTGGTGCCCTGTGTTATGAGATGTACCGTGCATGAGATGTGCACATGAGGTGTACATGTACTGTGTATGTGCTATGAGACCCATCTGTGTACATCTGTGCGTTGTGACTTATAAGTGCATTTATGTACATGTGTGCTCTGTGTACATGTACTGTGTGTTCTGTGTGCTATGATACCATCCATGTATACACGTGTGTACTATTGGTGTGCTTATCTATGTCTTCATGTGTGCATGTATTCTGCGTGTATCTATGTGTGTCTGCTGTGTGTGAATATACTGGGTGTCCCAATGTGTGCATGTACTGTGTGTATGTATGTTGTGTGTGCCATGTGTGCATGTTTTTCTGTGTGTGTGCGTTGTGTCTGTGTGCCATGTGTGCATGTACTGTGCGTGTTTATGTGTGTGTGCCGTGTGTGTACTGTGCTTGTCTGAGCATGTCTGTGTGCAGATCCTGTGCATGTTTGTGTGCTGTGTTTGCATGTGTCTGCATGCCTGCATCTGTGTCTTGTGCATGTGTGTGCTGTGCGTACATGTCTGTGCATCTGTGTGCACATCCTATGTGTGTGTCTGTGTGCGGTGTTTGCGTGTCTGTGCATTTCTGTGTGTGCCTGTCCTGTGCGTGTGTCTGTGTGTGTCTGTACATGTCAGCATGTGCATGACTCCACAGGTGCACATACAACTGAGAGTACTCACTCATCCCAATTGCTCTCAAGGGCTTGACACCAGATTCTTGCCACTTTTTGTCCGGGAAGTAGAAATTTAAACAACATTTGCTAGAAATACTTTTAAATTGTCTTCCTGTGTTATTGCTGGAGAGTGCAGTGTTTTTTCCTTTTCCTTTTTGAGTAGTTTTGAAGCAGATACCGAGTGTCACCTTGTTCATCAGCATCTCAGTGCACTTCTTTAGAACATAAAAGCTGTTAAAAGCCCTCACGCTGTGCTGCACTAGCCTTGGTTTGTCAGAACCCATCGTCTCATTCAGGGAGATGTGCTTGTTGCTTTGTGAGAGAGAGAGAGAGAGAGAGAGAGAGAGAGAGTGTGTGTGTGTGTGTGTGTGTGTGTGTGTTCAGCTCACAACCGTATGAGGCCTGTTCCAGCTGCTCAGCAAAGCGCCTCTCACTACACAGCTTCCCTCTGTCGTTTCCGTTAGCTTCACAGTCTTTTTGTAGCAAAAACTCAGTTGTTTCTCTGTGGAGATTTTGGTTTGCTTCTTCCTGACTCAGTTTCCCTGGTTCATAGCTCAAAGTTTAGCCATATCCAGGCTCTGGTCTAAAGAGGTTGTGTCATCCCTGGCACCACACACTTCCACCAGGGCACATAGGAAGACCATTTGTCTTTCAAACCTGTTTTTAAAGAAAAAGGCTTACTGACATGTCAGCCTAGGCATAGCCTCCTTTAAACTTGGCCATTTCCTTTCTGGAAAAAAAGTGCTCATCTTTGCTATGGGATATTTTAAATATGCATGATTTGTCACTCTTTCCCTGGGTCTAACTTAGTCACTTTGAGTAATGACCACGGAAATGCTGCTTTCTAGCTGCGACCAGCAAATGCTGCAGGTTACCGACTGAGGTTTTTGATGCACATATTGACTCCAGAATATGGCTTCAGGACTTGAGAAACCCCCATCCTATAAGGAAACACTACCATTCTCTTGAGAATGGATGTGAGCCCACACACCTCAGGCTGCTGGGATCTGAGACCCTTCTCCCACCCTCGTGTGAAGCTGTCCTGCCGCTGTGTCAAGACCAAGACAGGGACACAGCTTTTTGATGGGAAATGTAGGGATTTTATGTTAATTCTGGTGATGGCCATGTAGTGTGAGAAGGCCCTTCCAGTTTCACACCAGCAGCCTCTGCCCTAGAAGCCAAGATGGTAGAGGTCATGATGAAGATGCCAGCAGCCGGGAATGGAATGAGCTTCCTCACTCACCTTCCACGTGAGACCATGTCTGTGGGGTTGGTCCTGAGCATCATCAGTGGCTTAGTGAGCCCTGTGGTGTCCGTGCTGGGAACAGCAGCTGCTGTGCTGAGTCAGGACGTTGGCCACAGGGTGGGGACGTGGTGACCCCTGAGTGGTGAGACTGGGGAGAGCCGCTGCGGAAGAGCAGGGCTTCACACCAGCCACCAGTCCTCCTCCCTGCAGGCACCCTGGGTCCACCAGAGAACGTTTTCTGGAGGTAAAACACATGTTTCCTATTTAGAGAATTCTTAGCTGTGTAGCTGAAGCCCCAGCATAAGTAGGAATGAGGTAAATTTCTGGGGAAAACAGAAATGCGAGAACCACTCCTCCCGTTCAGCTGTGGTTTCTGTGGCAGATGCGATTACCGTCCTTACGTGGAAATGGGTCTCGGTGACTTAGCCCGCAGTGGATGCTGAGAGACGCGGCTGGTGTGGTTTCCCCAGGACAGGAGGGTTCTGCACCCTGTGCCAACTACCACTACACGTGGGCCCCGGAGCAGCCCTCACTGCGGCGTCCACTGTCCATGGGGAGGGCCTGTGGTGGCAGCAGCCAGGCCAGGAAGCAGATTCACTGGGATAGGTTTGGCAGAGCGGCCTGAACCGTGGCTCCCATCTGAGGTGCTGACCTCTCCTCGCTCGAGCTGCTGCTTGTTTGTCACCAGATCTGGGTCCAATGCCAGGTCCATGCAGTTTGAGGTTCCGTCAGTCACCCTGCTCCCCAGACTGTCCATCCTGACCTTTCCCCCCTCTCCCCACCCAAGACCAGGATGAATAGTGAGCACTGCCAAGGGGCTCCCCTTAGGGGCTGCTGACCTTTTCCATAGTGGGGGTGTGGCATGTAGACTGGGGCACAGGTCACGGTTCCCACAGCAGGGGGTGCAGTGTGTGAACTAGGACATAGGTCACGGTTCCCACAGCATGGGGGTGCAGCATGTGGACTGGGGCGCAGGTCACGGTTCCCACAGTGGGAGTACCCTGTGTAGACTGGGGTGCAGGTCACGGTTCCCACAGTGGGGGTGCCCCGTGTGGACTGGGGCACAGGTTCCAGTTCCCACAGCAGGGCGTGCAGAGTGTGGACTGGGGCGCAGGTCAAGGTTCCCACAGCGGGGGGGTTATATGCTATTGTTTTCCTGGCCTGATACCAGTGCAAACACTGGCCATCACTTAGGCCCAGTTGGGCATCTGTTACTTTGTAAATTATCAACAAAGCTTCCTGAATACATCAAGCCTATGTCATCTGTTAAACCAGCAGAAGGGACTTGGTACCAGGAAGGAGGTGCTGAGTAACTTCTCACATCCATGGCAGGTGACATTTCGGGGAGCAAACGTCTATCGGGGGACCTGCCCTAGCTGGGCAGTCTGGTCCTGGCACTGGTGCGGCCCTGCTCTTGGCCCCACAGTCCCGGGTGGGCTGCACGCCTGCCCTGGCCCTGGCCTCTGCCTCTGGACAGCAAGGGCTCTGGGCAGCAGGGACCCTAGAACCCTCCACCTGCTGCACAAATGAGCACAGTGACAGGAAAGCTGACTCACAGGAGAATGTCATGCCCCACCTTCTGTATTATCCATGGGTTTTCTGTGCACTCTGCTGGTGAACTGCATCACTGGCAAACATGACCTGCCACTGTGGACCCCCTCCCCAGCCTCTCTGTGGCTTCACGTGCCCTTCGTGCTCTCCTCTGGGATCCTAGACAGCCCATTGCGCTCTCACACATTGGCTGTGGCCCCAGTCAAGAGCTGGCCCATGCTGTCTGTGGCTCAGGTGGGGCTCAGGTGGGGCTGGCAGGGCCCCTCACCCGCACTCAGAAAGAACAGACCTGGGCGGTGCAGATGCTTTCTGCCCCCTCCGCTGTCTCGGAAACATGAACAGGGCGGGAATGCCGGATAAGGAACCCCGGGGTCTTGTCCATTGACAGGATTCCAGACGTGCCAGCGTCTGGGTGAGCATCTCCCAGGGCAGCTGCTCTGCTGTGCAGACAGAGGAGCACCAGGGCCAGGGGCAGACGCTTTCCCGTCTTCTCAGTCAGCCTAGACGTGCCCCTGCCGTGTTAGGGGGTTTGGTCATTTATTACTGAGTTGCCTGGCTGTTTTTTATTGTAGGGAATGTATATGGTGTAAACGTTGCCATCTCGCCCACTCTCAGTGTGTAGTTCAGTGGCACTGATCATGCGCAGAGTGCCCTGCGGTGCCACTGCCTCCAGACAGTCCCCTGCAGCGCCAGCCCCGTGCTGGCCCCTCCAGTCCTTGCTCTGTCAGGTGTGTGTCCTTCCATGCTGGCCCCCCTCACTTTGCACTGTGTTTTCAGAGCTCATCTGTGTTTCCTTTTCGCAGCTGAATGGATGGCCGACAGTTTGTGTGTCCATTCATCTGTGCCTGCAGTACGTGGTGCTGCTCTGAACATTCACACAAGAATCTGTGTGGGTCTGTGTCTGCTCCTTGGGGGCATATACTAGCTAGGCGTGCAATTGCTCGGTCACGGGATAATTCTAGGTGTAGATTTTTGATGAGCTGCCAAACTCTTTTCCATAATGGCCATACCGTTTTATGTTCCTGATGGCACGGACGTGGGGAAGTGAGTCCTCTAGCTTCATTCTTCTTTTTCAGGATTGCTCTGTCTCTTCAGGGCTCCATGCAATTCCATATGGATTTGAGCATCCGTTTTTCTGTTTCTGAGGGAATAAAAGGCTGCTGGAAATTTGGTACTGCGTTGAATGTGTAGGTAACTTGGGCGCATCTTGTCATCCTGCCATCCAGGAGCACAGCACATCCCTCATTATTTAGTTTGTCTTTAATTTCTTTCAGTGCGATGTGTGGGTTTTAGGCCTTTACCTCTATTTGCTTGTGTTCTGGGCTGAGCCCTATTTGGATCCCATCGTGACCTGATAGTGGGCTGGTTTCCAGGGTCCCCCTACAGCACTGTGGGTCCTCACGTGCATGTGCCCTGACTGGACCTTGAGTTAGGGAGGCCACTGGAGGCTGATCAGCCAACTGTGAGTGAGGGCTCTCAGGGTCTCACAGTTAGGCTGCAGATCTTGAGGTGGGGACCGTGAAGGTAGGGCCTCCCTAGAAAAGAATCCTGTGCTGCTATCCACAGATAGCCCTTGGGGCCTCAAGAAATGCAGCAGAAGGGACAGGGTGGGATGTGGGGGTGGTCTCTGAGTGCTGAATGTG